GAGAAATGTGTTATTTCACTTGTCTGTAAACCATCTCAAGCATCTGTGACATTCTCTAAAGATTTGGATTTTGCTGGTATGAGGAAAGTTTTGATTACTTCCTACCTTCTTTTCAATTATATATTTCCACACTCTTTTAATATTCAAGTTATTAGTTTAGATATCTTGAGAAAGCACTTTGAAAAATAGAGATTAAAAGAAAGTTTAAAAAATTTATTGAAAAGTATTAGAAGTTAGTGCATTGACAAGCAAGAACTCGACAGCAGTAGTATTCATTTGCTTTAGCAAAGATCTGTGATTTACCTACAGTCATAAAGCACTGACATTTTCCTTGAAGCTGTAATTGTAGTTAGGTAGTCTACAAAGAGGCAGCTTAGAAAGTGAGTTAATCAGCCCCTCTGAGCTAAGTGATTTAGGAACACTGGTGCGTTTGAACACTTGACTATTTCCTAATTGGAATGTTCATAATTAACATTTTTTTCCCAAATCTACTGAAAGGCTTGAGTGTGTACAAAAATTAGAAAGAACAAGAAAAAGCAAAATAATTGAGAATCATAACCCTAATTCTACTTCTGTTGATTTCTTTCTTTTTTTTTTTTTTTTGTATTTAGTAAATTGCTGTTAGCTAGTGTTGGTTTTTAAACATACACCTGCTGGTTTGGGTTTAGGTAGAGATGGGATTTAATTCACATTGATTGCTCATTCTGAATGGTGATTATAAATTCTTATGTACGTGTTTTACAGATGCTGTTGTTGATCTTCTGTCTAGTTTGAGCAGTACTGGAAAGAAAGACCTGAGTGTCTACATAAAAAATTAAAAGGACAAGAAAATGCAAATTAATTTTCGATCAGTAAACTGGAGGTGAAGGATAAACATAATATCTACATTAAATTTGCTTTATCCAAACAGTTGATTTTTCTGCTCCTTGTGTGGTAAAAATACCCAGTTGTTGTCAAAATAATCCCCCCCCCCCCCCAAAAAAAAAAAACAAAACATGCAAAAGCTCCACACATATTTCTGAGGATAAAGTGATGCTCTAAGCAGAGATTTAACTTGCTGAATGATTTAGATTTCAGGATAAAACATTTTGGGTCTGTACATGTGTTACCAGACTTTCATTAATTTCTTGGGGTCAGCTAGGGAAATCCAACTCCATCCCTGCTGGGCACCTAATACTGTTGTCCAGTAACAACCCAGAAAGGCCGTAGGAATGAGCTGATGCCCTGGTTCGTTCAGGAGTGTCACACCAGATCCTACAGAGCTTGAAGCCTTAGGATATCGTTGGGAGAGAAGTGGGCATCTCTGCAGAGCTCAAATCCAGTTAATGGCTAAGGAGCCCCTCAGGCTATAAAAGGATGTCTCCCCCATGCTTGTGCATGTGAGTCATGTCCTGTTTTATTACAGAACTGAAAAATGGACAGATGCTGCACAACTAGAGCAGCTTTTTTTGTTTCTAAGTATTCTCTCTCTTACTTCCATAGAAGGTGCATTGTGAAATGGAGGCTGTTTTTTTCAACCCTTTTTTTTTTTCTTCTTTTTTTTTTTTAAACTATATCAGTTTCACTATGTTAGTCACTGGTTCCCTGTTACTTTTTCATCTTACTTGAATTTTTCCTTCTGGGACAAAAAAAAGGCAAAATAAAATAACAGTAAAAAGAATCACAACTTGTGGTGGGAATGAATCTGGACAGATAAACTGTGTTGTTATGTCAGAGCCATTTCATGCTGGGTTTATGTTTTACAAATGGGTAGGTGACAAAAAAATTCTGATGTGTACTATACATTTGCCCAGAGGGCAAGAGATAAACTCTGTAGTCATATAAATTCAAGGGCAGTTCATAATAGACTTTCCTGGTACTCCTGAGAAATCTTTCCCCTGTCAGAAGGACAGTCTGAATGGATGCATATTTTCTCATCACCAGGGTCTGCCATTTTATGACACATGTGTGCTGCATAATTACAGCTATAGCTTCACAGCACCAGTGGAATATCACCTTTAATGTGTCTGTCTCAAAATAATAAACACCAGGTTTTGTTTCTCTAGAATTACGTTGCATGGAGTACTTTTATTTTGTACAATATGGAACAGGGATGATCTTTGTTGCACACGAGACCTAAAGCAAAGAAACCATCATTTGTGACTGGTTCTGCAGGAAAAAAAATACATAAAATGATAAGAATGTTGTGTATGTCTTAAAATAGCATTAAAATGCATTTTTTGTATTTTATTTTCTTTTTTATTGGGAATTTGGTATCGGAAATTGTGAGTGAATTTTACTAAGGTAAGGAAGATTTAATGTATTATTTGGATAATCTCGATAAGATTTATCCATAGCTCATTGTGCAGTAACCACATCAGCGGTCCATGGCTGTCTTTTTCCTCACATGTGTGAGGTTGTTTTGTAAGGTCCTGTATGGTTATAGGTACCCTCTGAGGGGGCTGTGATGGTAGGAAATAGAGGAAAAGAAAAATTAGGTTTTGTTGGAATAAGCCAATTGCAAAATAAACCAATATTTGTTCTTGGCATTTTAATATAGCTCTTATTAAGCAATGTGAAGCAACCAAATATTATCACTTAGTATTATCTAATACTGTAATATAGGCCAATGTACTGTCACAAGTACAAGCTATCCAGTGCTCCTGTGTTGAGCATCCTTACAAATAAGTCTTTCCTTTCCTTCTTGCCTGCAGCTGTTCAACAGTTCTTTTGTTTCTTTGCTTACCAAGGAGTTTCTTTAGTTTATGTCGCATCAATCCATTCTGTAGCTGTTATAGTTTATTAAAAGATTACATACTGAATTCCAGGGGAGGGTTCAGTATTATATTTAGCCATATGTAGGCAGACCATAATATTTACACAAATCCCTACCACACTTGCAGAGGGGTGCTTGAATTTCAGGCTTAGAGCCCAGAACGTGAATGTCTTTTCCTTGTTCCTTCAGATTCACTATTTCATTTTGAGAAGTTCTCTCTGCCTTGGTTTACATATGTGAAGTAAGGTGGTGATGTGAGTTCCTTCTCCTGTAAACTGTATTTCTTGCTATGAATTTTTCATTGTCTTAGTACAGATGTGGTCTGTCTGCCTTTATTCTGAAATTTCCAAGAGTAGTCATATGCTGTACCCTGGAGGAGGCGTTCGGGATCTGACAGTTACCACAGTTCAACTGTACCTTTCAACTTCTAGGCTAATACTTTAAATCCTGATTATTTGGGGGAATTAATGTCTGTCTTTTAAGGGCATAATTTTCCCTTATTCTTTATTGGAGAAAAATAAAAATGCTTAAATAAAAACTGAAGTGCAACATGGTATTGGGCTTCAAATAGTGAATAAATGAGTAGCTGTTTTGGTCTTGGAGAGAAAAAGTTTTGTAAATCTTTTTCAAAGATGTTTGAAAGCTCTCTTTCTGAATCATGGTTGTCTGCATTTTGCTGTTTTTTAGGAGAAGAAAGGCACTAAACTGAATTGTTGCATATGAATTTTTATTAATTTTATATTACACAACTCTTAGCTACAGTGTGAGCAGTGGAAGCTAAAGTGCTCTTTCATTCTGTGGTGTTTTTGCTTTCATTATTTACTATTTACCACTCGGCACATAAGTGAGTTACTGGTTTGACTGAATAAAGAGTCGCTACCTTCAGTAATGACTTTCACTTTCTTTGCAGTTAACATATGGCTTATAATCCTCAAAAATAAGCTTAGTTTGAAATCAATATTATTAAGACCAAATTATTGAAAGCAGGAAGTAGACATGAAAGTCTCAAAGGGGTAAGAAGGATTGATTCAATGGCACAACTGTTTCATTTCAGTTATACTCAGGTGCCTCCTCGAGCTCTCCTTCCAGAACGTCACAGATCTCCTGTAAGAACCCCAAGCAATGGCATAAGCTTTTTATTCGTGCACCAAAGTTAGCTAATAACATTTCAGCAACTGGTTACTTTATGTATATCCTGTGAGGATGTAAAGGATAAAGATCAGTTTTTAAATGTTTACTTATTTCCTGTGGTGTGTGTTGTAGTTGCCTGTAGATTAGAACTACAGTTGTTCAACTAGGTACTGAGTGAAATGCAGTTTTCAGGAAGGGCTTTTAATTGTCGCATGACCAATTTTTGCTACCTAATAAAGGCACCATCAGTTGCATGCCTTATAAAAAATTGAGTAGAAGAAGGAATCTGGAGGACTACAAGAGATGTAACACTGTAGAAACTACAAACAGAAATATGGGAGGTAGAAGAAATCTTGGAATAAAGTGTGTAAGTTAGTCAATGCTTGTAACTTTGGAAACCAAGCTACTTCCCCTCTTTTCTTACAGCAAATGCTATTTCAGAATTTCTTCAGAGGATCTCATATCTTAAGGAGAATATTCAGAAAGGGAGATAATGCAGTCTAATACAAGAGGGCAGTTGCTTCTCAGTACCTTATTTATGTTAAAAGTCAGGAGAGAGTGTACCAAACTTATGATTGTAGGTGTATAATGTAACCTATACAGAGGTGCGTATTTAAATCTAGACTGTGTGAAAGGTCAGAGCGAAAAGATACTCTGCAGAAGATTTGGATTCAGAAGCTGTCATGTAGAAGCTAAAGTTAAATAATTCAGTCTCCTCCTGCACTGGAAGGCAAAGCATAATATTGAAGGATTACATTTCACTTACAATGATATTGCCAAGTAAACCCTAGGGGGATGGAAATGGAATTTCATTCCAGAGTGTTTTAAGTTATATTTCTTTTGAATTCAAGTGATGAGCTAGCAAACTAGCCATCCTTATCCTTATCCTTATCCTTATCCTTATCCTTATCCTTATCCTTATCCTTATCCTTATCCTTATCCTTATTACTATTATTACTTTTCTATGTTGGCAAGAAGAAAGAAATAATGATAACAAAAAATTGGATGCTTCAGTTGTAGGAAGGACAAAACTGATAGCGGAGAGTGGTTTTGTTTTTCTGTGCTGTCACTGGGGCAAGCTTTTCTCACTGTTTTCACTCTGGCTGTTGTGCAGGTGGTTGACCAGATTGACACACTGACGTCTGACCTGCAGCTGGAGGATGAGATGACAGACAGTTCCAAAACAGACACACTCAACAGCAGCTCCAGCAGCACAACAGCTTCCAGCTTGGAGAAGGTCAAGGTGCGGGGCAGTGCACCACTCGTCAAGCCGCCTGCGCACCCCTCTGCTATCCTCACTGTGCTGCGGAAGCCGAATCCACCCCCGCCTCCACCGCGACTGACGCCTGTCAAGTGCGACGAGCCTCTGAGGCTGCCTCCTTCGGCCAACCCTGTCAAGACTAATGGTACCCTGCTGCGAAATGGGGCCTTGCCTGTTGGGCCCAACCGCATCCCAAATGGAGATACATGCTGTATACCGAACAGTAATTTGGAGAAAGCTGCGATGCAGCCTCTGATGCACAGATCTGAGAAAGAGCGGTGTCCTCAGCCGGGAGCAAGGGAACGGGTACGATTTAGTGAAAAAGTGCAGTACCACGGCTATTGCCCCGACTGTGATGTTCGGTATAACATTAAAAACAGGGAGGTGCACTTGCACGGTGATCCTGCCCGTGTTGTGGAAAAGCTGCCGCACCAGTGCCCACCTCTGCCGCCTCCACCATCTCCGCTGCCTCCATTTCCTCTGGAAAATGGAGGGTTGGGGATAAGTCCCAGTAATAGCTTTCCTCCTCCAAGACCTGCGACTGTGCCTCCACAAACCGCACCAAAACCCCAGAAGACCATCTTGAGGAAATCAACCACTACAACAGTGTGATGTATGCCACTCAAAACAACTCTTTTGTTTTTTCCTATATATAAACATAAATAGGTAATGAGCACTTTCTACTTGAGCAATAAAAAGACCCAATGTAGTACTCCCCGTATCCAGTGAAGTGGCATAAAAATCACATGGTAAGTACCAAGAGGAATGCTTGTTGATGTTACTCGTACTCACCAAAAAATGTCATTATGGCAAAGGATGCTTTAGCTCATAGGTTATAAATGTCTATAACAGTTTCATATCTGTAGTATGGTTTAAAAGACAGTGAAAAGAAAGTTCAGTTTGAAAATACTGACTGGCAATTGGTGATACATTTCAGTATATCTGACATAAGCAAATAATTATTGCTCCTGTGTTTTGGGGAAACTTACTGTTTCTAGCAAGTGCTTTTTAAAATGTCATTTGGCGAAGCAAAGTGTAGTACCAGATAACAGCTTTTGACTAAGTTCTAGCAAATGCATTTTTCTCTGCCTTACTGCTTCAGTGAAGGCATTGTGTGTGGAGTGGTGCAATAGAAGGTAATTGTTGGACTTTCAGACAGCTTGATCTTTGGTGAGGAAGTAAAGAAATAATTGAAAGGTATGTTGACTGACATGGCTTTGGAAAACTGAATTACCTCGCATTTTGTTTCTCACTGGCTCAATGTGCTACTGCCAAGGTGAAGTACAGAGTTTTCAGGTGAGCAGGGATAGTCCCATTCAATTCCACCCTATCTTCACTGCTCCATCTGCAAAATGGTAGTAATACTTTATCTCACATGCGATGGTGGTAGATTAAAATAGCAAAGCACAGTCCTGCGTTTTTCACAAAGCTTTTGTCTGGTGCAAATCTCTTTTTGAAGGCAAAGAAAATTTTGCCTCAGGCCTTCAGGGACATCCACTTAATTCATGTAAAGAGCTTTGAAGTTGAAAAGCTCTGTGTAATTACGAAGCATTAACATGCAAAACAAGGTATTTTATTTGTTATCACATTTTGATGGTGAACCCAATTAATATTCTTACTAGCTGAAAAAAAGTCCTCAGTGTTTTTAATTATTTTATGAAAGAACATTCTTTTATTCTGACAAAGAGAGTTGTTGGGACCTAGAGTTAAAAAAAATCAGACCAGTGAAGAAAATCTGATAATAAATCTGTTATTTACAAAAGTTGTGCCAAATTAATCTCAAATGGCCCAACAGCAGATGCTATATAAAAGCACTATGCTTTTTTCAGCTGAAATGTAAAACATAGGCTATGGCAAAACAGACAAAACTAGGAAAAACACATTTTTTAATTTAAATTTCCATTTACATTCAGTAATACATATTAAACTGAAAACCAATCTTGAAGCAGTTTCCCTGTGTACACATTATAGTACATTGATAGTATTTAAACCAAAATAGTAAGAATAATCATAACAGAAATTCTAACAGATAACTACCCTTTGAAAACATTTGCAGTAAACAA